AGAGAGAGAGATTTATATAGGGTGTACTCTTGGGTGTAACCCAGGGTGCCTCTAAAGCAAAATTCTTCAATTTATTGCTATTAAGTCTACTGGAAAAAACATTAAGAGTTTTGTTATTTTATCGGTAGATTTAAGGATCTATCATTAAGTGATCTATTTATACTTTGATGATGTTTGAAAAATGACATTTTAGGCAAAAAAAAAAGATGATGGTTTATCTATTTTTAGCATTTTCAATTAACGAAAACGCCATTTCGTAAACATTTGTTCTGGTGGAATAATAATTCCTACAATTTTCTGGAAACTAACTTGACAACATTTCTTATATTAAACTTCTGGATTTAATTATCATAACCGTTCAAATCCCTATTTTTTATAACCACGCCTTTTCTGTCCCCGGATTTGACGAGTCGTCATGTCTTGGAGACTTTCTACACATGAACGTTTGCCTTCACACTGTTCAGCTTTTTTATTGCCAACTCAGCAAAACCCAATCAAAGGCTAGATGCATTGGATTGAAAATTAGGTATGTAGCGTGTAATTTTATGTGATGGCAAAATTGAAATATACTATACAGTGCAGTGTTGGGGTTGCTCCAAACGTTCTGTTCGGGCTTCCAGGATTGTAGTTAACAAAAACAGGTTCTTCATGAGGCGATTGCAAGGGTCTGTTGATGGGCATCATAAAAATCAAATTTCGACATTTGTAAGGGAAATAAGGTCATAGAATTTGCTGGGATTATTATTCTCATCAACGTAACCATCATTTAACTCTAGCTAAAGTCTTGAGTGCGAGACTAAGTTTTTCATGCAATTTGAAGAGGCGGAAATTGGTATCCAATCCGCCAATCGGTTATAGTTTAATTATGCAAATTGTGTTAATAAAGTTATAATTGCTCATTTCCTCTAAGCATAAATGTGTATTCGTTATTCACTTAGTTATAGGTCATTACTGTGTTGTTGATGTCGGCTATCCAAATGTTAACATCTAATGATATCGCGGCCAAGGAAGAATACGTAGTAAGCAAGCTGTCTTTAACTATCGACCTCGTCATTTCGTAATATGATCAAGAAGTGTTTTGGAGTATTAAAGGAAATCTTTCCCATTCTAAAGTTAAGCAAAGGTTGCCCTTGAGAAGACTAGTTCAAGTTCTCACTGCTGGTTGTGCATTACATAATTTCATTCGCATGGAAGATATGAACGACACATAGTTCTTGGAGCATGAGCAAGATGATACGATATTTGATATTGCGGCAAGTACAAGTGAAAATAAAACTCTCAATAGCAACTAATGCATGATGTTCGAGAAACTATTGCAAAAATTTAGCATGATTATAATACTTGAGACGTCAAAGTATCACTAGTGTTTGTATTTGTTTTTAAAGATAAAGTAGCATCTTATTGAAAAATGACACTTATTAAATGTTGTTCGTGGACTATCATTTATGTTCACCTTTTGTATTGTTTCAAATGTTTCTAATTGCAAGTACATTATTGTGTAATATGCACATCTATTATTTTTTATTAGTTGCGTCAGATTATATTTGACAATTTTAACCTTAGGTCTTATTAAGTTTCAAATCAACAATGTATAAAATGATTTTATGGTATATATGTAAAAATGAAATAGATTTTTTTTAAAGTATGTGTTCACATTTGGAAAATGGAACTCGATAATGGAAACGGAAAACTGAAGGACAGAATAAATTTGTATTTGTAAAAAACATTTAATCGCGATGCAAAAATAATTTTCATAAAAAGTTCGGGGTATATATTACATATGCAAGTTTGTGGTACACACCACACACCCATTAAAGTTTGGGATATTTAAATTATTTTCCCCTATAGTAATAAGAGAAAATTACTATTAGCCCCCTGAGTTTATGTCATAATTATGAATGCAACCTTGTATTTTCAAAAATCGATTAGTTACCATTGTGTTTGGATCATTCTCATTCTTTTTTACATTATGTTAATGTATTTGTTAAATCAAATTAATATAACTCTTAAAACTCAATGAAAATTTCCATAAAATTGATTTTTAAAGTAACACACAAATTGTTATCATAATTATAAGTCATTGTTGTTGGTCGTTATTTTCTACTTATCTGCTTTATCGTGAAATAAATATTATTGATAGTAGTTAAGGGGAAATACTCACGAGTAAGATATAAAATATCATGAATTTTAATATTTTTATTTTAAAAATTAAAAATCATTTAATCTTATAAAACTTATAAACTTTTTATTGTAAAATATTGCAAAGATAAAATAATCACAAAATAGTAACAAAGTTAGTATAAAACTTAAATAAATCAAAATCTATGCTACTTTAGATTGATAGCTTCCAACTTGTGGCAGACCTAGGCATCAAAGGTCAGAGTATGCACGCATATAGTACTATAATAAAGAGAAAATTTTACTTCGTACATTAACAATTTTTCTTTAAATTACATTAACAAAAGATTATTTAAAAAAAGAACATTTTGTATATGACATGCTACATAAAATACCAATTAGCAGTGTCAGAACCAGGATTCGTGACTTGCAAGGGCACATTAACAAAGAAACCATATACATCACAAATATAACAGTATACAAAACTATAAAATTTAAATAAAACAACTAATTAAAGGGTACCGTAATTTTGATTAGAATCTGATGTGTCAAATGAAGGAGAATAATTGAGAGGCTGCAATCTTTGTCTTCAAGGTGCCATACTCTGAAATTGCCTCATACTGACTTCATTCTCAATGTAACACATCAGAGAACCGAATGAACTTCAAAAATTGGACTTAGGCAAGGCTTGAAGCAGCCTTGATCGCCTAGTCCACGTTAGAATCGGAGGGGTATATATATATAGGAACGACAAAGGAGTAAATCCTCCGTTTCTATCGGTGTGGGAAATTTAAACTGTAGAAAATAAAAAGGACAAGAAGAGGGAGCGGATGCGACATTCGAACCCCGGATGAAAACTGAAGCATGCGCCCCAAGTTCCGAACATTAAACCACTGGACCGCTTGATCTCATTGTTAAAAGTAGGACTTAAATACAATATATTACCTATTATTACTGCAGGATAAATAATTAAATATTACTTAATAAAATTCTGTTCGGTTTGAACCGATTTTATAACTCAAAAAACCGTGACCGAACCGATTTATGTTCGGGTCCCAACTTTCGGGTCCCGTTTAAGTCGGTTCAGTTTCGGTTTGATTTTTTTAATGCTCGGTTCGGTTTTTTTCGGTTCGGTTTTCAGTTTTTCGGTGTAAAATGTCAGCCCTACTAAAAGGTACCATATTTACAAGACTTATGACGAAGAGAAATATATTTGTAACAAAAAACTATGGTGTAGGGTAACTAACTTAAATATGCATGCATATAAATTTTCAGGTCAACGCAGCAAAGTCACCCCCTCTCATCATCTGTTTAAACTCAGTGAAGTCCACCATTCCGTCACCGTCCACATCCACCTTCGTGATCATCTTCTTGCAATCATCAATCGTGCGGCCTTGCTTAAGCCCAAGTGATGCCAACACAGACTTCAGCTTGTCAACTGTGATGAACCCATCGCCGTTCTGATCAAAAACCTCGACGCCTTCCTCATGTCCATATCCTCATCCTGTTCGTCCATGATCGACTGGTACATTGACCCAAACTCATCTATGTCCACACACCCGTCCCCGTTCACGTCAATTTTCTCGACCATCTGGGTTAGTTCTTCATTTGTAATGAAGATTCCCATCTTCAGCAATGAATCACTCAACTCCTTTTTGGTGATTCGTCCATCACTGTTCTGATCAAACATTTGGAAAACTCTTCTGAGCTTGTCGTTGGTGGAGATTTTGATGGATTGATGAAACTAGCAATAAATTGGTGGGGTTTTGATGAAACCAGGAGAAGAGGAGGGAATTGAAAGGCCTAAGCTATTTTGGAAGCAGATTGAAAATAAATTTGTTGAGGGAAATGTGTCTAGTATTTGGAGATGGAAGTTCCTCAACAAAATGGTTGGCCATTGCAATATTTTTTCTGTGTGGTGGTTAGATATTCATGGAGAAAACATGAGGTAATAGAAAACATAGCCAAAACAAAAATATACAAGAGAAGGGAATTTCATCATGAAATTGGTGGGGGTAAAGTTGTCATGAAACAATTAGACATGTCAGGTAATTCAGTTTTGCACAAAATAATATCTTCACCGTGTTTGTATGGTTGTGGTATCAGCGTATGGTTGGCATGTTTATAACATTTATACTAAAGTTTCTGAAATTTGTGCTGGGTCTTGCAAATCCCGAGCAAATTATTGTTTTTTGTATTTATTTAGGCAACAATTAGGATATTTTTAATTGCTTTATAATTTTATGGTATGTTTGATCAATGTAAGTTTGATTTGGTCTGAACCGATTTGATAGATATCCGTTCTACGTGCATTTTACAACTGTTGAAGTCCGGTCTAATCTAGTTGGACTGAAAGTCTGAAACTATTCTTACACGTTTATTGCACTATGTGTTATTTACTTGAAAAACTCTTTACACAATTAGTCATTTTTTATCACTTTTGTTGCACTCCATATAATTGACATTCCAACCAAATTTATCATCACTTAATAGGACTCAAATTAATGTGTCATGCAACGAACATACTCCCTCCGTTCCTGAAAATACTTCTCACTTTCCTTTTTGGGCCGTTCCCAAAAATACTTCCCACTTTCCCTTTTTGGACAATTTGTGTGGCTCATATTCATTTTACCTTTTTCTTACACAACTACAACCACACATTTCCACTTTATTCCACTTTCTTAATAAGCGTGCCGATTCAAACCGGGAAGAATTTTTAGGAACGGAGGTAGTAATTTATTTATCGAAGTCAATATATAAGATCAAAACAGACTTTTAAACAAAAAGTTCAACACACTCAAACGTATAAACAAGAAATATATATATTTTGTTGTTACGTAACTATCAATATGCTTATGGTAAAAAAACTATCAATATGCCATGGTTAGCACTCTTCACAAGCGGACATGTGTAGGCGTGTCAGCTAGACATAATAATATCATGGAATTTTATCATTTAGGGACCTCAAAGTTGAGCATTCTATCATTTAGGGACCCGAAAGATAAACTCTATCATTTAGGGACCTATAGTATTAAACTCTATCATTTAGGGACCTATAGTATTAGAATCTCTCAATTTAATGCTCAAAATTTTAACACCGTTAACCTGCTTCTAACGACAAACTGATGTGGCACTTGATTTATTAAAAAAATATTGTTTCGTAAATAAAACTGCCACTTCATCAGTCTGAATCATTGCTCTTCTATTCCATCTCAACGTAAAGTTGATTAATGATGTCTTATCCTTACATTTTCACCGACAGCCAGAAACTCCACAATTCTATTCATCTTACCTCACCTACAGACCTCTTCATCTTCAACCCTCACCTTCGCGGATCGAAACTGTCTTTCAAAGATATCTGAGAAAACAGGTGAAGCGCAAGAGAGATGTAGACCTTCCACGGCGCCAAAGCCAAGAGTGATATCGGGAATACTCATCCATTTATAGAGTACCAAAAACAAAGAATGATTTGCTTGTTCTCGTCAACTGTTTCCCTTCGAAGAGCTTCGTCTTCCCCGACACTGCCTCCCTGTTACTTTATTATGAGAAGAGAAATCAGAGCTTAGTTTACCGATAAATTTTGTCCGCAAAAAGGAGAGACGGTATGACATCTGCTTCTTAATTAACTCTATTCCTTTTCTCTCTATAAGAAAATTAGGTCGCATATTTGATAAATCCCCCACCCAACTTAAAAGATGCTTGAATACGTAAAGCCTCTCTCAATAGCTTCTTCATGGGAAAATAAGTGTTATGTCCTCTTTGGGTTGGATGCATCTGAATTTTATTGCAAGATTCTTCTAATGAGATTTAGAATTTCTAGTCCTTGGTGTTATTAAATTATAAATCAGATCCAATTTTATTAAAAAGTCAAGGTAATCGACTAAACTTTGAATGATATGGATTTTGTATATATCTATTCTTTTTCCCTTTTTGAGAGTAGAATTTTATAGGTTCATCAACATCAAGTTGTCCTAAACTTTGAATTATATGGATTCTGTATATGTATATTTTTCTTAGTTTCTTTTAGGCTTATCATGATCTCATTTGGTGGATTTTAGTAGAGTACTTTGGATTTTTACAAGGAAAAATTCACATCAATAATCCCACCTAAATGGGTTCTTCTCATATTAATGTCATGTATGTGTAATTCCAAAAGAATCTGAATTTAAGAGGTATCCTTCTCAAAATAGTCTTAGGTGACCTGCAACCTGCTGTTTAACAGGTAAACATCCTCAAGGTATCTACCTTTCTATTACTGAAAAAAACTCATGTCTCTCTAGTTTCAGATGAAACAATAGCATAAGCTACAATGAATAGACCATTGTTCCCATCAAGACTAACCGCTGCAAGAAGCTGACCGCGATAGTATCCACTTAGATGGCATCCGTCTAGTGCAATTAGTGGACGACATCCATTTATAAACCCCTTTTTACATGCATCTATACATACATATATTCTATCAAATCTTGATGGTCCATTCTCACCATGTTTTGGACAAATTAATTCAACTGTTGATCCAGGGTTGGTCTTCAGTAACTCGGCACAATAATTAGGTAATTTAGAATACTGTTGAGCAACATTGCCATGAAGTGATTGTGATGCATATGCTTTTACTCTATAAGCCTTTGCAATACTAGCCATGACATTACATTTCTTATATATAAGATCTTTCACTTCCGGACCTGTCATGTTTGGATGTTCTCTGAAGTCTTCAATTAACTTATTTCCCAACCACTTGGTATCAGCAAAATTTGCCTTCACTCCCTCTTTCTGACAGGTATGACTTGAGATAAATGTTTTGACCTTATAAGTTTCTGAACATCCAACTTTGGAACAGTATATAAGCCACGGGCAATCGTTCACACACTTTACACGACATTTTATCTTATCTTTCTTCAAAAAGGTCAGATTATACATATTTTGAACCCCGTAGGTTTTAACAGCTTCGTAAAAATCATCTATAGATGCAAATGATTGTTCCAACCTGAAGTTGACATCCCCGGGAGCTGCTTGAATATGTGCAGAGTCAGCTTCGTCTGCACTTGTTGGAGATTCAGAATCATGGATGCTCCTTAATTCTGCCAAAGATTCTATCGTAGCTGGCTCAGAGAAATCAGATAAGTCACCTGTATCACGAAATTTATAAAAAGTATCATTGGTGGCATGTGACCAACATGCTGGTTGTTTGTCATCATCGCTATTATATTCATCTAAACTCCAGTCATCATTTTCAGCTGCCATCTGTAAACAAAATTATAAAACAACTGTCAAAATAGTGTCAAGCAACTAAAACTTATCTGAAATACAGAAAATTTATCTAACAGATAATTATATCTTTTACCTTTTTTTTATTACATCCATATCAATTACACTCCACAACAAAATAATCTCTAGATTATACCACTCAAATTTACTTTAACTTAGGCATGTATGCTCTATGAGTTTAGAGTTTAGGTATGTTCTCTAGTGTTTCCTTCTACTCAATTTTGAAATTCTAATCTGATCTTCACTTTATTCTTCACTTATGGATATAATATGTTTTTGTGATGAAATCTAAGTACCAAATACTTTTGAAAACACTGTTTCATAACCACTTTCATGATATCTTACAAAACAAAATAATTAAAAAAATATAAAAAAGCACGATCAATGTCAAAGTCTGGTTTGACTGAGTGAATAGCTTGGTGCATTATGTAATTCAAGATGACCCTAGTTTAAACCTTATTAAAGGAGCATGTGCACCGTTTTTTGATGATGATGATTCCTGAAAATTATGTTTTAAATAATCACAGATGTGGTACAAGGATGGGAGAAAGTACAAACCTTTGATGAGAATTGCTGAATCTTGTATGCGAAGAAGGAAGCAACGAAGAAGGAAGCAGCAGAGTCTGGGATAGGCGGCTGCGTATAAGTTTAAGCTTATACGTAGTATATTTTCTAATTCTTTATATCGTTATTAAATATGTATTTGTTTTTTACTTATGTGGCGCCACATCAGACTCTCTAAGTTGTATTTTAACGGTGTTAAAATTTTGAGCATTAAATTGAGAGATTCTAATACTATAGGTCCCTAAATGATAGAGTTTATCTTTCGGGTCCCTAAATGATAGAATGCTCAACTTTGAGGTCCCTAAATGATAAAATTCCTAATATCATAGAACTGGTAAATAGAAAACTAACTGTATCTAGAAGCATTTATTATTTCATTTACATCAACTCAAGGTGACAAGTTTCGTAATTTTTCTTTTTAATGAAGAAACTGCACAATGGAAAGAGTTCCTTAAGGTAAGAAAGAAACCGAAGGCCGTGGCTAACTCTAGCGAAAAAGACTGTTCCCGAGAATCAAGTCATCCGTGGAGAAGTCTGCTTCTTTGCGAAAGGTTCCGAGGCCAAAGTCTAGGTTGTATGAGTTTGTAAGACCTTCAAACAGCCCAAATTCTGGTTTCCACTCCAGCAAACTCTTTGCCTTCTCAATTGATGCAAAGAAATGCTGCGTAGCCCCGCGTAACCAAGAAAATGAAAAAGAACACCTCATTATTATGTACCAAAAGTTTTTCATTAATCATCATCAGGTAAAAGAATCTTAAAACATCTGCCAGACAATTACCTGATCACGAAATGGAAATGCTTTCTTTTTACCAAAATCAAACTCCTTTGGGTTGTAGTGAATAATATCTGGCTCAGGGAACCCACCAGCCTGTTTCAAAACATAAAGACAAATGTAGTCTTGCATCAGCATTCTAGCACATAGGCCTTTCAGAGAGACTTGTGAATAGAATGATGAAGACAAACACTTAACCTTCGCACATGCCTTTGCTAATCCGTCAAAAGTAACATATCTATTTCCAGAAATGTTAAACACCTGTTTCCTTGCCTTATCATTACCAAGAACCTGAACAAAGGCTCTTGCAAGATCCTGTATACATAAATCTAGGCCCTTTAAGTTGCCATTTATTTTTTTATTTTTTTGGTTCCAGTTTTAGTATCATTTGTACAAACTTTGCATCTTTTTCAGCATGGATAAAAGTGAATGCTACAAATTCAAGATCGGTTGGGGCACTAACTAGACCGTAAGACAATTGGGTCAAGCCACACGAAATGACTAATTCCAATATATTAAGTTAGTCCACCCTTAGATCTTATTAACTCATCATATCCACTTAAATTTTTGGATATGGGATTCTAAGACTACTAAATATTCTCTAAAAGCTAAAAGAAAGCACATAACCCGGATGGGAAGCCCGAATGGTTTAAACTTGGGACTAAAAAGCCTCTAAGGTCGCTATTTTGACACCTAAAACGGCCACTGGACGGGAGTATCTTCGCTACCTTGGCTACCACGCTAGCAGATGAGAGTACAAGACGACAAGCACATACAGAGACAATAGGGAGAGGCGAGCGACGAGAGGGAGCAGATGAATCGATGAGACGAGTCAAATAATTATTTAATAGCCTCCCATCCATTGCATACTTTTTTATGCAATGCTGCATTGCATGCGCCTTAGAGCCTACGCCTCAGCCTTGCTATGTCGTCAAAAGGAATACGCCGTTCATCGCAAATCACCGGAAAATCTGCAAGGTGTGCCTCAAGGCGGGATATTATTGCCCAATTTAAAAAATTGCACCCATGACAATAAAAGTAAAACATCATAGGAAGACATGTTGATCATGATAATAATAACTGAGAGAATATATTTTCAGGTTTTTAATGATTTATTCATTTCCAATCTCTTACTATTTTGCTAACCTTAACATGACCAAGTTGGGTTACTTGCATTCCGGAATTGGGAATGGGGATTGGGCGGGCGGCTTTGAGGCGGTGAAAAAACCACTCTTCAATGGGATTGTAGTTCAAGGGACCATATATATAGACTGGTCTTATAACAGTCCAATTAACGCTGCTTCGTGATTGCAATAACCTTTCTGTCTCCAGCTTCCCTTTGTGCCTGCTCTTTAGGTCAACTTCATCAGTCTGTCAAACACATTTTGAATGACAACACATTCACAAATGGATTTCTAGAGCAAATCACTATTTCGAATAAGAAAATTAGATAAAGATATATGCTAACCTCGTAGTGGGGCAAATAATCAGTTTTGAGATAAACACCAGCTGAGGAGCAGTATATGTACCTAACGATTCAACAACAACAAAAAAGTAATAGTCAAAATGAATGGTACCCTCCCAGACCTAAATGCTGGTGGACAAGAAAATTTGGTTCTGTAATACGATATTATTATGCAGTCTATTTTTACTTGATTAAAGAACTCAAAACTTAAGCTATGTTTGGATCCCAGTAAATAGTAGTGGAAGGGAAGAAAAAGTTCAAGAAAGTCATTTTTTTATGTTTGGATTTGACACAAAATACAAAGAAAAATGATGTATGATTAATGTTATCATTATTTTGACATACGTTTAAATTCCTTAGTATTTTTATGATAGAGATAAATAGATACAATGACTTCAAACAATTATTAAAAGGTCTAAATATGTTTTTAGTCCCTGCAAATATATCACACTTTGTTTTAGGTCTCTACAAAATATTTTCTTTGTTTTCCATCCCTGAAATTTATGTTGGTTTTCTTTTTAGTCCATGACTAATGATTAACAACGAAACAAATCGACTAATAGGTATCCTTTAATTCTTTATCATTCCACTGAAAAAGTATTTAACTTCATTGTTTAAAAGGTTTTTAATACATATTTTAAAAATGCAAATAAGTAGTTTTAATATCGTTTTAACTCTCTTATTAGTGTAAGAAAAAAATATAAACTGATGAATTTAAATGTTTTTAGTAGATTTATGCAACTGACAATAAAAAAATTGAATTATAGTTGTTTTGGAGTTAGAGATGGACTAAAACCAAAATAACGCATATTACAAGGATGAAAAACAAAGAAAATATTTTGCAAGGACCTAAAACAAAGTGTGCCATATTTGCAGGGACTAAAACTATATATAAACCTTATTAAAAATAAAGTTATCGAGTTTGAAACAACTTTTAAATTTCCTCGACATTTTCTTTTCTTCCATACTTATCGAATAAAATTGTCATTTTGTTCTCTTATCATTTTCCGCATTCCAAACGGACTTTTTAAGTTATAATGTTGAAAACAAATGTTACGTCTCAATTCTTATAAGCAGCTTAGCTTACTGTTCAAGATTAGGCAATGCATCCAATACGGGTTCCACTTCAACTGCTTCCCGTCCTGCAAATTACAGCAAAAGCGTTTCCAATTCCAAATTTCCAAGGGATTTTTGTCAAGCTCAAAAGAAAAAATGAAATCAAGGGTTCAGGCATGCAATTCAAATTGTAGAATAAGAAGTCCTTGTTAAATCTCTCATTGCGAATTTACCCATCGTTGGGTCAGACTTGCCGAGATTGAATTGCTCATGGTAATTTAATGAGCTGCGATATGGTATGAAGACTTAAGGTGACATCCCAAAAATGTCTACTTAATAGGAGTATGTAGTCTAAGACCTTACATGTGATGATTTAACATCTTCACCCATACCACCTTTTTTTAACCTCTATGTTTTAAAGTTAATGCTCACTCAGGTTATGTTATGTTATTAGGTCTATTTAACTTATTTACAAAACAAAGATGATGTTTAACCATCACACCTACCATTTATGTCATACACAATGTCCAAACCTTCAGCAGAGATACTTCTCCTAACAAAATCATAGTCCGTTCTATCTCCCTTCAAGTGCAATATCTAAAAAAGGCTTTCTCAGAATACTGGAACTATAAGATCAAGTGAAGAAGCAAGAAAGGCATATGATTCTTTGAGATGATTGATTAATTGGCACAACAACCTTGGAGCAGAAATCAGCAAAGTCACTGTCCGATTCTCCTGGCAACTGTTGTGCAATTGGGGCCTTTCCTCTTGTGAACAGAGTAACCTATACAGTGCTTAATCAATGGGCACTTGGGCACCATAATAGATTTTTTCCAATGCAAAAACCAGTTTGGCACAGAATATGAACCTGATGGCCTTCTTTGACAAGAAGTCTGGACAAAAAGATACCAATAAATCTGGTGCCTCCCATTATAAGGATCTTCTTGGAACTTGCCGAAACCTGCAGCTTCCCACATGCCTTCCTTTTATACTACATTCACATGGAAAAAACAATATATAGCTTCAGTCCTTTTACACTTGCAATGAGAGTAACACATACTCACCTGTCCCATTTTATACTACCTCGTAAGAATTTGGACCATGATTTTGATTAGTTTAATATTATAGAAGTTATAAATTTTATACTTTTTGAAAGTACTTTTAACAAGGAACATTTTCATATCATTTTTATATTATAAATAATTTCTAAAAAAATCTATAGTTGGTCAAAGTTTTAGAGATCCGACAGAGTTTTTAGGGACGACGAAGGTAGTATGTATCATCATGTATCAAAATCTCTTCAGTATTACAACAAAAGCATTTCCACTTCTATTTCGAGCAAGAATATAGTTTATTAATTAAGCATTTATTGTATTAGATTCCTCCCAAATTCTACCTCCTAATCTCTATAAATACTTGATGTAAACACCCTACCAGGAGGGACCTTTGGACCGATTCCTGAATTCCGGAATAAGAGTAATACTGTCTTACGCTGCCACATTCTTTTCATATTATTTTTGATATTATTTACATCGTCTACGTAAATTTAGCTCTCATAGTTGGATTAAACTCCATCATTTGGTGCTCTCGTTGAGAGCTGAATCTGCGAAGAATCATGGTTGGATCAAACAGCCATAATCGTGTTGGTAGCGATCAAGGTGGAGATCGTTACAATCAAGTCATGATCGAGGACGAAGGTTTGAGGTCGCGACGAAGTGACTTCCGGAGACGCAACGACAACGTCACCGCCCAAGGTGATTTGAGGAACCAAATTCACAGTGCTGGGAGTTCCAGGCGCCCGGCGGTGCGTCCATCGCAGTTTTAGACGCCGGGTACTGGACACAACATCCCCAACGTGGATCCAGCGCAAGCATTGGCGAGCCTCGCTACGTTCCAAAGGACGGTGGAAACTTTGACAACTGCATTCCAAGGTATCATTCCTTATCCTAATGGGAGACCTCCTTCCCCCCGCCGGGCTCCATTCATAATCCCGCGAGGGGGGAGAATTCCCCTCAACGTCAAAGGCACTCTCCACCTACCCATCTCAACGCTCCCATCAATCCAGAGCGACTCCCAGGATTCCGGTGGCAAATCGGATTAGCGAGCAAAGAATATCTGTTCATGATAGACTTTCCTCTTGGGTGGAGCCCAGTGAGGGTGGATCTTCGGCTGCCGTTTTGTCTCACCGCCGAAGTGCGCATGAGGGAGATCTAAGGAACGAGATCAACGCGAATAGGCGAGCCCGAAGAGACCGCCAATCTCCGGTGCACACTCAGGCTGGTCGCAATAACACCGACCTCAGGAGGAGGCTGAACGAGCTCAGAAGGGAGATCGAAGAAGGAATTGGTCTTGAGCATGGCGTGCGAATTCCTGAGCCTTTTACTAGGCAAATTATGGAAGCACCACTGCCTCTAGGATACAGACCATGCAACATCGAGGCCTACAGAGGGAAAACAGATCCACAACATCACGTTTCCAGGTATGTGGCTTACACGGTCATGATGGGGTATGATGATGCTACAAAGTGTAGAGGATTCTCGGTAACCCTAGATGGGCCAGTCCGGGAATGGTACGACTCTTTGCCGAACGGGAGGATAAGGAACTTCCGGGAGTTGGCTCACGCCTTTGTTGCTTGTTTTGCCACCTCCAGAGATTCCAAGAAAGAATATCTCTCACCTTCTGGGAATCAAGCAGGGCTCCCAGGAAACCCTGGTTGACTTTCTAGTTCGTTGGAAGGATGAGTCAGTTAAGGTAGAGGACCTGGATGACAAATCCGATGTGGCAATCCTCACCAACGCTCTGAGGTCGGGCGAGCTGTACAAGGATTTCATACGCGAGCCCCCAACCTCACACGGGGAAGCCCTACTGCGTGCCAACGCGCAGGCCGCAGTGGAGGAAGCAGAGAAACGGAAGAGAGATGAGGAGTCAGGGAAATCCCAGCCTAACGACGGAAAAAAAAAATAAGAGTTCAGAGAAAGAAACCCATAACCATGAAAAGGGGAACAGGTTCAAAAAGAAGAAGAAAGGTTGGGGAAAGGGCAGATCGAGCGTTTCAGAAGGACCCTTATCCAGCCAGCCTGAGTTTCCAGTTGATACAGTTCTAGATTATGCGGCCAAGCATGGTTTGATCACAATCCCTGAGGGATGTAATATTGTCAACAGTCAACCTCACAAGGGTAAGTTTTGTAAAATACACAAAAGCGATACCCATGAGACCGACGATTGTTATATCCTCAAAAGATATGTGGAGAAACTAGCCCGCGACGGACAACTGGACCAATTTATCAAGAAGGCCCGGCAGAATCAAGATCCTCAAAGGAAGAACACCTGGAAAAGGGAGAAAGACAAGCCGGCCTCAACCTCGAAGAAAAGGGAGGTCGGAGCCCGGTTTGAGGATGATGAAGAAGGGGAACATTCAGGCCGGCAGAAGCGACCAAACGTCAACCAGATCTACGGCGGACCCGTGGGCGGGGACACTGCGTCAGAGAGGAAAAAATGGAATCGACAACTCTTTATTGGGGACATTAACCGCCACCCTGCTGACAAGAGGCAGAAGCGGGAATCCATTATCTTTATCGACGATGATCTGCCACCGTGTCCTCCACCACATAGGGATGTGCTGATGGTAAAAGTGGAGGTTCTTGACACCATTGTCCATCGAGTCCTCGTGGACAATGGAAGTTCAGTGAACATTCTATACATGGACACCCTCTATGATATCGGTCTCCAGAAGGCAGCCCTCAAGCCCGTCAAGACCCCGCTGTCAGGTTTTACAGGAGACACAATTGAGCCGGAGGGAGTAATCACCCTCACGATCCAGCTCGGATCGGAACCATGTGTGAGGACTGTCAAGACAGATTTTGTGGTGGTGCAACTGCCGAGTGTTCACAAAGCAATCCTCAGCCGACATCTTTTGGAAGACATGGGAGCCATTATCTCCCAGGCTCATTTGTGCATCAAGTTCTACACTCCCGCGGGAATAGGAACGATGAGAGGAGACCAAAAGATGGCCAAGAGTTGCTATGTGAGGGCTTGCAAAGCTCATGGCAGGAATGAATCTACAGTAAATGCCATCGAACAAAACTTGACAAAATTTGAGGAGGGGCAGTTCAAAGCCCAGCCTACCTCAGAGCTCGAGGAGGTCAGAGTCGATCCAGCTCGGCCAGAACGTCGGGTTAAAATTGGTGCGGGACTCCAAGCCGACCTGAAAGCTAGGATAGTCTGAGTTTTGATGGAATTCGAGAAGATCTTCGCCTGGACACCTGAGGACATGCCAGGGCTCGACCCCATAATAGCAGTTCATCATCTGAACGTGGATCCAAAGGCTGCTCTTGTCAAGCAGAAACGCAGGTACTTGTCTTTGGATAGAATCAAAGGGGATGTAGCAATGCTATTGGGCATAAAGCACATTGGGGAAGTCCAATATCCGGAGTGGCTTGCCAACGTGGTTTTAGCTCCAAAGCCACCAACCTGGAGGATGTGTGTGGATTACACTGACTTAAACAAAGCTTGCCCGATGGATCCTTTCTCTTTGCCAAGCATAGATCAACTGGTAGATCAGACTGATGGGTGTGAACTCCTATCATTTATGGACGCATTCAGAGGATAACATCATATTTCGATGCACCCGGATGACGCGGAGAAAACCTCGTTCATCACACCAGAGGGAGTCTTTTGCCACCTGGTCATGGCCTTCGGTTTGAGGAACTCAGGGGCTACCTACACTAGGATGGTGTCCAAACTATTCAAATCAGTTCTGGGAAGTAACATGGAAGCGTATGTTGATGACATGATTGTCAAGAGTCAAGGGGGGAACGATCATGCAGACGATTTGAGGGAGGTTTTCAGCATCATGAGGGAGGTAAATTTAAGGCTCAACCCTAAAAAATGTACTTTCGCAGTCCAAGGAAAAAATTTCCTGGGTTTCATGGTGACACACGGGGGCATTGAGCCCAATCCGGAGAAGGTGAAGGCCATCTTGGACATGGAACCCCCCAAAAATGTAAAAGAGGTCAAGATCCTGACTGGAAGGCTGGCAGCCTTGGGGGGATTCTTATCCAGGTCGGCGGACAAATCTTTGCCATTCTTTCAAGTCTTGAAGAAGAGCAATGGGTTCCAGTGGACTCCGGAGTGCCAAGCTGCATTTGAGGATCTCAAGAAGTATCTACAATCAGACCTACTGCTCAGCAAGCCTGAGATTGGTGAGACCCTTACACTCTATTTAGGGGTAACTCAAAGTGCAGTCAGCTCAGTTTTGGTCCGCGAGGAAGGATCGGTTCAAAAACTGGTTTATTACATCAGCAAAGTCCTACATGGGCTGAACTCAGATATCCAGCCCTGGAGAAGACCGTTGTCGCAGTTTACACCGCGGCCAAGAAACTGGCGCATTACTTCCAAGCTCATCCAATCAAAGTATTGGAAGTTGGTACATTGTTCAGGACGGCTAAAACAGCCAGAATTGTGAAGTGGTCCTTGTTGATCAGTCAATATCAAGTAAGCTTTCAACCTAGATCATCAATCAAAGGTCAGGCCTTGGCAGATTTTTTGGTTGAATGTACTGCCCAGGATTTGGCCGAGGAGAAACGAAAAGAAGAAGGAGATTGGTGGACCCTAATGACTGATGGATCGTCATCAGGGTCCAAAGGTTGCGGAGGAGGGGTGGTCCTCATCGCCCCTGAAGGCTTCAAAACCTATCACGCCCTCATATACAAGTTTAACCTGTCTAACAATGAAGCTTAGTATGAGGCCCTACTGTCAGGCCTCATGATAGCAATTCACTTCAAAGCGCAAAAACTGAGGATTAAAAGCGACTCTAAGTTGCTCATAAAACAGCTTAGAGGGGAATACGAAGCCAAAGAAGAACGGATGCAGAAGTACAGGGACACAGCCCTGGAACTTATCAAGCAGTTTGAGGAGTCAGATCTGATATGTAGGGGTGGGCACGGTCCGGGATTTGGCTTATCCTGATCCCGTCCCGGTTTTATAACAACAGTCCAGTTCGGTACGGGATAAGTCTTTATCCCAATG